CGCTCTCCTTCCCGCCGACCCCCTGCGCTCTCCTTCCCGCCGACCCCCCCTGCGCTCTCCTTCCACTTTCTAGGCTTCTCAGCAGTCCGTCCTCTGCTCCTCCCCCCCGAACCTCTTTGTAATCCGCAGTGTTTGAAGTTCTCCCCACGGAGGGAAGTGTTCATTTCATCTTCTGTAGAGTCGTGGTTCTCGGGCTCCGCTCTGTGTGCAGGAGGCCACATCCCTAATCCCTCCACCTTGTGTCACCTCCGTCTCTGTTTTGCGTCATTAGACATCGCACCGTTCTCTTGCGGCCGTCCTGTGCACCGGAGACACTTCCTTGTTCTGTGGATCTTCTCTGATCAGAACCGCTATTTCCTGTCTCCTGGTTTTAAAGGAAATTTCCAGCTTCAACTTTTATTTTATTTTTTGGATGTTGGGGAAGAATTGGAACATTTTTGGGTGTTTTTATAGCTCTCGGTGTCCCCACTGGTGGGATTTTCCTGTACTTCTCGTCTCCTTCTCCCAAGTTAGTTGGTGGGAGCGGAGACTGCCCATGTATTGGTGGGAGCGGAGACTGCCCATGTATTGGTGGGAGCGGAGACTGCCCATGTATTGGTGGGAGCGGAGACTGCACATGTATTGGTGGGAGCGGAGACGTGGGAGCAGAGACAGTCTGAAGCCTGTGCATTGGTGGGAGCGGAGACTGCCCATGTATTGGTGGGAGCGGAGACTGCACATGTATTGGTGGGAGCGGAGACGTGGGAGCAGAGACAGTCTGAAGCCTGTGCATTGGTGGGAGCGGAGACTGCCCATGTATTGGTGGGAGCGGAGACTGCACATGTATTGGTGGGAGCGGAGACGTGGGAGCAGAGACAGTCTGAAGCCTGTGCATTGGTGGGAGCGGAGACTGCCCATGTATTGGTGGGAGCGGAGACTGCACATGTATTGGTGGGAGCGGAGACGTGGGAGCAGAGACAGTCTGAAGCCTGTGCATTGGTGGGAGCGGAGACTGCCCATGTATTGGTGGGAGCGGAGACTGCACATGTATTGGTGGGAGCGGAGACGTGGGAGCAGAGACAGTCTGAAGCCTGTGCATTGGTGGGAGCGGAGACTGCCCATGTATTGGTGGGAGCGGAGACGGCCCATGTATTGGTGGGAGCGGAGACGGCCCACAGCAGAGAGGTGAGAGTGGAGAGGAAACCTGCCCGGCATAACTTTCATATTGCTGCATTTAAAGACCAAGTTCTATGTAACTCTGAGGAATAGTTAGGGATTTTTTTTTTCTAACTTCCTGCTAGGACAGGAAATAAGAATCTCGGTGGGGGTCACAGATGAAAATGAAAGCACAATTTGGGTGAGGAATGGTTGGAAAGTTGTATTGCCTGTCCTGGTGACACCCGCT